AAAGTACTTCATCCTTCCCAAATCTGTCATTGCAAACTCTTCTTGCATAGATTTCTTGAACTCTTCAAGCAGTTTTTCAGAGTCACTTGTGTAGATCAAGTCATCTACATACACACTAACGATTAGGATGTTGTTGCCTTCTGTTTTCACGAAGAGAGTGTGCTCACAGTAGCATTTTGTGAACCCTTCTCTCTCAAAGTACCTTTCAATCCTACTGTACCAAGCTCTTGGTGCTTGTTTAAGCCCATACAATGCCTTTTTCAACTTGTAAACCTTCTTGATTTCTTCCTTAAGCTCAAATCCTTCCGGTTGCGCAACATAAACATCTTCTTTCAACTCTCCTTGAAGAAAGGCACTTTTAACATCAAGCTGGAACACACCCCATCCCCTTTGAGCTGCCATGCTGAGGATCAATCTGATTGTGTCCCATCTTGCAACAGGAGCAAAAACTTCATAGAAATCGACTCCATAGGTTTGATGAAAGCCCTTTGCCACAAGTCTAGCCTTGAACTTGTCAACCTCTCCTTTTTCGTTGAGTTTTGTCTTGAATACCCATTTAACACCAATCACTTTTGCATCTGAAGGTAGATCAACAAGCTCCCATGTCTCATTTTCTTCAATGGAGTTAATCTCTGTTTCCATGGCCTTCCTCCACTTATCATGTTTCACAGCCTCCACGTATTTCACTGGATCTTCTTCTTCCACAAACATTACCAGTAATTCTTCACAGGCTTCTTCCATAACCAGTCCTCTCTCATCACATATATAATCTTGCATCCATGCTGGTCTAAGTCTATTTCTTCCAGTTCTGCCGTTGTTCTGGTTTGACCCTTCTCCTACTTGTTGCTCTGCGGCTGTCTCTTCTTGATTTTGTGTTTCAGTGTTGCCAGCTGCATCATCACGTTCTTCACCATTATCTTCTCTGTTCTCTCCTTCATTTATCTTCTCAGCTTCCTCATCATTAACCTCAACGAACCTCTCTTCTTCTGAGCTTTCTTCCCATTCCCAGTGTTTTCCTTCATCAAACCTTACATCTTTGCTTATTATTATCCTTCCTTTTGCAGGATCATATAATCTGTAAGCCTTGGACTCCTTGCTCACACCAAACATAACACACCTCACGCTCTTCTCGTCAAGCTTGACACGTTTTTCATATGGAATGAGAGCAAAAGCCACGCACCCAAAGACTCTGAGGTGTTCAACTGAGGGCTTGTGCTTGCTCCATTTCTCTGTTGGAGTTACATCTCCTAGAATAGCAGTAGGGCTTCTGTTGAGTATATGCACCGCATATTGTGTGGCTTCTGGCCAGAACCTCAGAGGAACCTTCATACCAAAAAGCATGCACCTCACCATATTCATCACACTTCTGTTCTTTCTTTCTGCTATCCCATTTTGCTGGGGTGTGTATGCAGCAGTCAATTGGCGTTTGATACCTTGCTCTGTACAGAACTCTTGGAAAACCTTTGAGTTGTACTCTCCTCCCCTATCAGTTCTTAGACACACAAGCAACTCTCCATACTCTCTTTCTGCTGCCATCTTGAAGTCTTTGAAAACTCTAAATGCTTCTGATTTTTCTGCTAGAAAGAAGGTCCAGCATTTTCTACTGTAGTCGTCAATGAAATTAATAATGTACCTCTTTCCACTCTCTGATGTTGGTGATATGGGCCCGCAGATGTCGTTGTGTACAAGTTCCAGCCCCTTACTTGGTCTCCATACGCTTTGCTTCGGTATATTTTCTCTAACCTGCTTTCCCTTCATACAAACTTCACATACTCCGCCACTTATGTTTATCTTGGGAAGTCCCTTTACCATCTCCTTCTCTGCCAAAGTGACTAGGCTGTTTGTGTTCAGATGCCCATATCTCTTATGCCATATGTCACACGTACCCTCTTCACAGTTCTGAGCTTGATTTGCCTCTGGCTCGCCATTTGGTTGCTTAACCACTGCCTTGATTACAAACATTCTGTTTGACGTCATACTTGAATGCATGATCAACCTTCTTTGTTGCTTGTGCCACACTTCACAAGTATCATTCTCCATAATGATTCGCAGACCCTTTTGTTGAAGCTGCCCCACACTCAGCAAGTTATTGGTGAGACCAGGAACATAGTATACTGATGAGATAATTTGCGTTTTGCCATTGATCTCCATTCTCAGGTTGCCTCTTCCTTCTACTTGCATGCGCCTGTCATCTCCCAACTTGATTTGTTGTCTGAAGGTTGCATCAAACTCGATGAACCACTTCTTCACTCCACACATGTGATTGCTGCATCCGGAGTCCAAATACCACATGAGCGTTTCCTCTACAACTGTCTGAGCCATTAGAAGGATGTCTTCTTCAAACTCTGCGTAATTTGCTCCTCTCTCCCAACTTGGACACTCATTTTTGAAGTGGCCCATCTTGTGACATTTGAAACATTCTATGTTTGTCTTGTCAATACTCGATCCTCCTCGGCCTCCTCTGTATCCTCCTCTTCCTCTGTTTGGAGCATAGCCTCCTCTTCCTTGAGAATATCCACCATTGTTTCCTCGTCCTCTTCCTCCTTCCATTTTTAAGGCTTGTTCTTCTCCTCCAGTCTTTGAGAGATTTTGCTCATGCACCAGCAACGAGCTTTGTAACTCATCCACGGACATCTCCTTGATGTCTTTTGACTCCTCAATAGCACACACTATATATGTGAAACGCTCCACCAGAGTTCTCAGCACCTTTTCTACTATCTTTGCATCCGTCATATCCTCTCCAAGATTCCTCATGTCATTAGCCACCACCATGACTCTAGAAAAGTATTCTGTGATTGTATCACCCTCCTTCATCTCCAAAATTTCGAAGTTTCTTCTCAGTCTCTGCAGCTGCGCACTCTGAACTCGTTTGTTTCCTTGAAACTTCGTCTTCAACGAGTCCCAGATGTCTTTTGCGGTTTCCTTCTTTGCTATGGTCTTGAGTGTAGTCTTGTCAATAGAGGCAAAAAGATAATTCTTCACCTTAAGGTCCTTAAGTTTCTGATCTGCGATTTCTGTTCTCTGTGCTCCGGTAAGTATCACGTTTCTCTCGGCTTGTGGAACACCATTCTCGATCAGCTCCCACCACTCCTTTGACCTTAGCAAATTCTCCATAAGCATTGCCCAATGCTCATAATCTCCGTCGAGTTTGGGTATACTCAACAATGAATCTTTCTCATTCATTCTCACACCTTTTAGATATTTCTTCTCACACTTGAACTCACAGCAGGATGTTGCCGCTCTGATACCACTTGTTGTAACAGAGAGAAAGATATAGCTGAAAGTACTTGTTTTCTCTTATTCATAAACGAAAGCAATACAAAGACTTAAATAGAGATGAGTGAACAATCACTCCTACATACTCGCTAACAACTTACACGATCTCCTATTATCATGGAAGACTTATTAAAACTTAACAACTTGAATAAACTCAGCTAAAGACTCGGTACTCAGCTAAAGACTCGATCATACTTGCTTCAATCCCTCCCTTAAACTGAAACATCTCCATCTTCAGTTTAAACTTCTTTTGAACAAACTCCCATCTCCTGCCTTAACTTCTCGAACACTTCACGCTTGACTGGTTTCGTCATGATGTCAGACAGCTGCTCAAATTTGTGTCTCTTCAGATTAATTTTATTCTATTCAGATTCGCTAATCAATTCCTCGTAGCTCGATGATAAAAGCTAAAGATATGCCCGAAAAAAATTACTCTCTTTTCCGACTCTCACTAGTTACTCTGCCCATTCCTTTTGTCGGAATCCGTTTCCGCCGTGAAAAACCATACCTTTATGGCTTTATCCCTGATTTAAGATCACTCCATTCCTATTACTATTTTACCCCTCTTTAACGTAAATGAGTAAAAAAAATAACGTCAAACGAAAGAGCCTCGCACAAATATGTTAAAATGGGCCAAACATAACAAGATTAACCAGCCCATTATCAAAAAATTTACCCCTAACCCTAAACTTTTACAACATAGCTAAAATATACGGCTTGGAGATAATTAAAAAGTAAAGAAACCCAAGCAGAAGAGAAGTTCTCTTGAAGAATTGAAAAAATAAATGAATTGTGTGGTAAGTAACCATTATTGAGTTTAAGGCTAAGTAAAGAAAACAAGCTTCCTTGCTCCTCAAGTCTCGTGATAAGGTCACGGTTATTTGCGCTCAAGCACTTAAGGTCTCTCGCCTTCTCCAAGGTTTTATCTCTACCATGATGTTAGCAAAAGCGGAATGGCTTTTGGATCTTCTAACTTAGGATCGCTCCTTTTGACCTTAAGAATAACGAATATAGCTCAAGAACTTGCTCTTTTGAAGAATCCAACACTTACACACAACATCTAATATCATATGATATAATTATTTGAATTCTTTAAGTGTGCATCTCTGCATGTTCAGTTACACACACATTTGTGTCATATGATATATGTATCGGAATTCTATATTTCATATATGAGAACAAATGAAACCTTTACTTTTATGTGACAAAAGAGGAACAACATGTCACCAGATACCTCTCTACAATCTCCTCTTTTACTTTTTAACCATTTAAATTGTAAAAAAACTACTTTGATTGCTTGATTCCCAACTACTTTTAACCATATGAACACCTTCATTTTTTAAAAGATATGAATCTGTAGGTCAAATAGAATATGGTGGAATACAATGTTTTTTTTTGTAACTGGAGAATACAATGTTTGTGGTAAACGTTTTACTTTCTTCTCTTACTACCTTTACTTGTCAGGTTACGAAATATGAATCTTTGCCTGAACGTACGGAAAATAAAAACCATTAAAACAGCAAAACTAAAAAACCTATGCCATGTCTTTCTTCCAAACAACAAATTATTAGTGTCTTTTATCTATGAACAATTCATTTTTAAAAGAGTTATGAATCTGTAGGTCAAATAGAATATGCTGAATTTTATTCATACAACCAAAACATTATGCTGCATGCTCTGTCAACACACATGAAATGTTGTTGTAAATAAGTATAAGCTTTTAATTAGATATGAGAGATCAAACTTTGAAAACAAGTAACTTTTCTCCAAGCCATAGGATCCCGGTAAAAGAAATCTAGAGACTTTGTAAGGAGATCATATTTTACCAGACCGCGGGAATAACGATGTGAGAGCAAGATTTTCTTGTTCTTGCATACGGCCACGGGTGTGGATGGCTCAACCAAAACCTTCTGGCTCCATTCAAACTGATCGCGGATCTCAGTCTGAGGAGAAGGGCAAGAAAGGAGATCTATGGAAAAAATCTTCTCCCAAGTGTCTTTTGATGGATTCAACCTCCAAATATCTTGGATCATGGTAACGTGCTCCCTTTTCGACATACACAAATGATTATCTAGAGTGCACATGTCAATATGACGAGGATCTGAACTAGCAATAGCTGGAATGATCTTGGGCAGCAACCTGAATGTTTCTCTTTGGATATCAAAATCCACCACTTCGGTTCTGTCCTCATGTAGCTCCGTGAGCCAATACACCGACCCATTTGCATAGGCTGGCTTTTGATTAGGAAATATACGATAACTTGGAGTGCAAGCCAAGTATCTCCAAGTGTTTGCTTTAAAGTCAAAAACCTCACATTTGGTAACTTCTTGGTTTGGACAAGAAAGATCAGCATTGTACTTATCAGAATTATACAACCACACTAGTTTGTAATTAGCAGCAGCCTTCACGAATGCTAGATGAAAGACTGAATCCATAGCTATCCACTCATCTAGAGTGGGGTTACACTCGTGCATCAGAATCTGAAACCTAGCCGGAGGAAGTTGTCGGAGCCACCGTGTAGCCGGATTAACTACATATATGGATTGAGTTTGTGGGGAATGGATGCAGAAAAGTCCATCGCAGTTTCCAGAGAAGTACATCCAGGTACCGAATCCTTGAGAGAAATTGATAGGAGTAAAGGACAGAAGAGAACCCGATTCAAGGCAGAACATTCTAAAACCAACGTTTGTTTCTGAGTGAGGCTTAGACCTTGGACACGAGTCGATGACCATGAGTTTCACGCGGGATTGCTTGGCGATCTTCAAGTGTCTCTCTGCGAAAGAGAGAGACTCCAATGTCACTTTCCAGTGTTTTGAGAGCGACCTGAGTCGGATTAGAACTTTTACGGGAAGCCGCAAGAATATTTCCTCTATCAATTCGTTTGGTAGTGATGATGGAGCAATCACTCGCTTCTCGTTTCTTCTTCTTCTTTTTCTTATTATTCTTCTCATTTTTCTTCTCTTTCTCTTTCTTTCGGATGATGGTGATGCAGCCACCACCCGATTCTCTGCTGCCTCCATCTTTGATAATGCCACTTTCTGCTAATTCTTTTGATATTTCATCATATGAATATAGAGGTCGTAATCTTTCAAAACTTAATGCCCAAGATTTGACTTATTTTCTCCCCAAAAAAATAAAGAAGATAATTTTACATTTTTTTACGTTATGTTAAAGTGCCTTTTTATCGTACTTAAAATGCCTTAAATGTAATTTTTTTCTCATACAGACGACATTAGAATTCATTGCAAAATATATGTGTGAGATACGATTCTATTTCGGCAGGTTGGCTTGTTTCTTTTGTAGATATGGGCCGGATGATATGTAACTGAGACCCAAATAGAAGATACACTTCCGAAGAAGTCCAATGAAAACTCGCTACTTAAATTTTCTTTAATTTTTTTGTAAATAAGTATAAGCTTTTAATTAGATATGAGAGATCAAAGTTTGAAAATAAGTAATTTTTCTCCAAGCCATAGGATCTCGGTAAAAGTAATCTAGAGACTTTGAAAGGGGATCATATTTTACCAGACCGCGGGAATAACAATGTGAGAGCAAGATTTTCTTGTTCTTGCATACGGCCACGGGTGTGGATGGCTCAACCAAATTCTTGTCGCTCCATTCAAACCTATCCCGGATCTCAGTCTGAGGAGAAGGGCAAGAAAGGAGATCTATGGAAAAAATCTTCTCCCAAGTGTCTTCTGATGGATTCAACCTCCAAATATCTTGAATCTTGGTAACGTGCTCCCTTTTCGACATACACAAATGATTATCTAGAGTGCACATGTCAATATGGCGAGGATCTGAACTAGCAATAGCTGGAATGATCTTCGGCAGCAACCTGAATGTTTCTGTTTGGATATCAAAAACCACCACTTCGGTTCTGTCCTCATGTAGCTCCGTGAGCCAATACACCGACCCATTTGCATAGGCTGGCTTTTGATTAGGAAATATACGATAACTTGGAGTGCAAGCCAAGTATCGCCACGAGTTGGTCCTAAAGTCAAAAACCTCACATTTGGTAACTTCTTGGTTTGGACAAGAAAGATCAGCATTGTACTTATCAGAATTATACAACCACACTAATTTGTAATCAGCAGCAGCCTTCACGAATGCTAGATGAAAGAGTGAATCCATAGCTATCCACTCTTCTAGAGTGGGGTCAATCTTGTGCATCAAAATCTGAAACCTAGCCAGAGGAAGTTGTCTTTGCCACCGTGTAGCCGGATTAACTACATATATGGATTGAGTTTGTGGGGAATGGATGCAGAAAAGTCCATCGCAGTTTCCAGAGAAGTACATCCAGGTACCGAACCCTTGAGAGAAATTGATAAGAGTAAAGGACAGAAGAGAAGCTGATTCCAAGCAGAATATCCTAAAACCAACGTTTGTATATGAGTGAGGCTTAAACCCTAGACGTGAGTCGATGACCATGAGTTTCACGCGGGATTGCTTGGCGATCTTCAAGTGTCTCTCTGCGAAAGAGAGAGACTCCAATGTCACTTTCCAATGTTTTGAGAGCGACCTGAGTCGGATTTGAACTTTTACTGGAAGCCGCAAGAAGATTTCCTCTATCAATTCGTTTGGTAGTGTTGATGGAGCAATCACTCGTCTCTCGTTTCTTCTTCTTCTTTTTCTTATTATTCTTCTCATTTTTCTTCTCCTTTTCTTTCTTTCTTTATTGTCTTCCATCGTTAATAATGTCCCTTGGTGCTAATTGTTTTCAACATATGTATATATATAGCTCATAATCTCTCAAAACTTAATGCTCAAGATCGCCGAGTCACGCCATGGAAAGTCAATATTCATCATCTGTATATATAGGTCATAATCTCTCATAATTTAATGCCAAAGATCTGACTAATATTCTCCCTAAAAAGAAGATAAACCTTTTACGTTCTTTTACATTTATAACAGTAAAAATGCTTAAATGTAAGTTTTTCATACGTGTGATATATCAGAATTCATTGTCAAATACATGTGTGAGATACGTTTCTATTTCGGCAAGTAGGCTTGTTTCTTTTGCAGATATTAGGGGTGGGCAAGAAAAACCAAACCGAACCGAGTCAAACCAAACCAATCAAACCGAATCCGATCCAAACCAAACCAGAGTCTGTTATCAAATAGTTTGGTTTAAGATTTTCATAACCCAAACCAATATATCCGAACCAAACCAAGAAATTAGTGTGTTTTATTATTATTTAAAGGGAAGACGACGTATTTCCACACCAGAACTATGACATAGTAATAAATGTACACAAAGTTTCGAGGTCGTCCTAATTGCACACCGTTGAAGTTAGACAACCAATTTCCACATAATAAGAAAGTTCAAACCTCGTTTCCACCTAATCTTTATAAATCGAACTAATATCCACAAATGTCGGTTTAAAATTGGTTAAAGTTCCCTAAACCTAAGGTTAACCAATCCTTACCTAACTAAACCAAAAACTATCCAATTATAACCCGATTAGAGAATAGAAAACCCGATTAAACAACTAAACCATCCCACAACCCGATTAGAAACCCTAAATCCCAAATCTGTCCTGAAGAAGAACAAACACGGTCTCTCTCTCTCTGTGTCGATTGTGCACCGATTGTGTTTAGTCTAGGTAATTTCGACATCTCTTCTTTGTCTCTCTCTCTCTCTCTCTCTCTCTCTCTCGTTGTTTCTTTGTCCCTCTGTGTCTCTCTGTTTTGATATCTCTGTGTCTCTCTCTCGTTGTCTTTTTGCAGGAATCAACAATGGAGTCATTCACTGATGTGAATGTAGAATGGAGTGATGTTCCGGAATTCAACCATGATTCTCCTGATTCTCCTGATGATGTTGACTCTGATGGTGAAGATAGAAGAGAGCGTAACGATTACAACATCGAAAAGGAAGCCATGAGCTTTGTTGATGAACCTCAAGTGAAACATAACTTGTATCCAGAGACAGAATCAGATGAAGAGATGGAAGTGGAGGAAGTGAATCAGAGAAAAGAGAAGCAGCGAACTATCAACAGGCGCGGTGAGTTTAGGAGAGGCAGTGGGGAGTTGTTTGTTGGNTCATCAATGGAATTGCGTTTAAAGAAGCAGTTCTCGACAATGCTCTGAAAACTGGCAGGAACATCAAGCAGAATCGATATGACACGACAAAGATTGGATTTGTATGTGAAGGCAAAGGTTGCTCTTGGCGTGTCTACTGCTCAGTTGCAGCAAAGTATCCCAACAAATGGGTGGTGAAAATCATGAAGAAGGATCATACCTGTGTTCCTACGGGTACTTGTGAGATGCTTAAAGTGCCGCAAATAGCTCGTTTGTTTGTCGACAAGATCAGAGAAGAACCAGAATACTTCATGCCAATGAAGATTGAGCAGCTTGTTATGGAGAAATGGAAGATCAATGTTAGTAGACCGCAATGCCAACATGCTAGGAACAAAGCGCTCAGATGGATTGAAAGAGAGTATGATGAGCAGTTTGGACGTCTGAGGGATTATTGTGATGAGATAAGAGGCTCGAATGAAAATTCGTCTGTTGAGCTCGACTGTGTGAAAAACGATAAGGGGGAAGACGTTTTCAATAGGTTTTACGTCTGTTTTGACGTTCTGAGGAGAAGCTGGAAAGGATCGTGCAGGCCATTAATTGGAGTAGATGGATGTTTCTTGAAGTCTAGGATGAAAGGACAGCTATTAGTGGCTATGGGTCGCGATGGAGACAACGCAATTTACCCTATCGCATGGGCTGTGGTAGGAGTAGAGAACAAAGAAAATTGGTTGTGGTTTGTGGAAAAGATCAAGGTTGATCTAGGCCTAGAAGAAGGAGAGGGTTATGTTATGATTTCAGATCGTCAGAAAGGATTGATTGCTGCTGTTAAGAGAGCACTGCCGCGGATTGAGCATAGGATGTGTGTTAGGCACATCTATGGTAATTTGAAGAAGAACCATGGGAAGAAACCAGACATGAAGCTGAAGATTTGGAACCTTGCTTGGAGCTACAATGAGGCTGATTACAAAGCAAACCTTAGAGACATTGAGCAGTACGATCAAGGTGTTTATGACGACTTGATGAAGTCAAAGCCAGAGAAGTGGTGCAGGGCGTTCTATAAGCTTGGACCTTATTGTGAAGATGTGGAGAACAATTCAACCGAATCATTCAACAACTCCATAGGTAAAGCCCGAGACAAGCCCTTTGTACCTATGTTGGAGACAATAGCTCGCTTGGCAATGGTTCGTATTGCGAAAAGGGATGTCATTTGCACCAGTTACGAAGGGCTTTGCACACCATATGCCATTGAGATGCTCGAGAGTTTACATAAGCTTGCCTCAGAATCGACGGTTAGACCTTCCACCAACCAGATGTATCAGGTTATTACTAGTAATGGCTGTGCACATAGGGTAAGCTTGGAAAGTAGAACTTGTAGTTGCAGGAGATGGGAGATTACAGGGATCCCTTGTGAGCACGCCTATGGAGTCATGTTGAAAAGAGATCTAGAGGCAACAGATTATGTGGTTCACTGGTTCAAGACAGCTACATGGAGGCGTACGTATGTTGAAGGGATTGTACCCTTGCGTGGAGCAAAGTTCTGGCCTGAAGGACCAGAACCATCTATCAAAGAACCTAAGATCCCAGATCAACCAGGCCGTAAGAAGGTGACAAAAGCGGATAAAAAGAGGAAGAGAGGAGTCAATGAATCACCAACGAAGAAAAAAGATAAGACCTTGAAGCGAACCATGCACTGTCGGATATGTGGGAAAGCTAATCATAACTCCAGGTTCCATAAGAATGATCCGAAACAGGTTTGTTTCATTGCTATCTCGGTTTTGTGTATGTGTTTGATGATGTGTTTTGATGATATTTTTTGGGTGTTTATTGTGTTGTTTTTTCATCCTTGGCAGAGTGGTGAATCTTCTCAGCCTGAAGCCTCCCAAGGTGCTACTGGCTCTCAAGTTACTTAGCCAAGGAAGTGACGCATGGAAAGAAGAGAAGATGGATGTGAAGGAGTGAAGAAGTGGTTTGTTTTTGTGGTGTTTTAGGTGCTTTTTATCTCGGTTTTAGGTGCTTTTTTTAGGTTCTATGACCTTGTTTCTCGGCTTTAGATTCCTTTTGCACGTTCCATGACCTTGTTTCTCGGATATCAGGTTTAGTTTAATGGATCTAAACTTTTTTTTGATGTGTTCAAGATATGCTTTAGAGGCAATGTATCATATTTTAATGGCAATGGTCATTGTTTTTGTTTTTTATTTGAACTCATCTTGATTCTCACCATCGAAAAGGAGAAATATCTTATAAAATACCATACTTATGAGAGTCTTAAAACATCTAATTTCCAACAACATAAACAACAACAGACTTTTGACACCACCATCTTCTAAGACAATTCAAACTGAGACAAGTTAAAACACCTTAGCCAAAACAACCATCGCCAAACATCCTAAAACAACCAGCACCATCGCCTTCTTTTGAGATGCTTTTGCTTCATTCACAACATCTTCCATTCTTGCAGAAATCTCGGTCTCTAACTTCAATCCAAACTCATCAAACTTCTTCTTCTCTTCTTTCTCTTCTTCCACACGTTCAGCAAGAATTGTCTGTTCAAGTCTCCCAATCCTAAATGACATTGCTTCAACCTCATCCAACAATGCCTCATCAACCCATTTGTAACTATGATTATCATTACTCAGCTACAAACACAGAAAAATTGATTCACCCACACATTTTGAACATTCACTTATTTTGAAAAATCACATTTATATAAACAAACTAACCCTTTTCTCTGCTGCAAAAGCACAACGAAAGTATCTCCTATAAGGATTTGCCTTTGAATTCGACATCAATGGGATAACTAATTCTCCACACCAACATCTCTTCGGAACACCAACAACACGACCTCTTGCTCGAGCGCTAGAGACTCCACTCGAACTTCCAGATTCATGACTCATGCTTTCTGGGTTTGGGAAACGAAATCACTCTCTCAATTTTTAGATTTTAGGGTTCTAAAGACAACAACTCGATTTGGGAGTTTTAAAGGTGTTTCGGGTCGGGTATAAATCGATCCATAGTCGGATCTTATTATGGGTCGAGGCGTACCAATATAACTGGTTTATTATCGGTTAACGTAATAAACCGATAAAACCAAGTCAAATCATGGTCTGTGTGGAAACGAGGTTCGAGCTTTCTTATTATGTGGAAATTGGTTGTCTAACTTCAACGGTGTGCAATTAGGATGACCTCGAAACTTTGTGTACATTTATTACTATGTCATAGTTCTGGTGTGGAAATACGTCGTCTTCCCTTATTTAAATTAAACATATTAGTAATATACAATATACTAAAATCCTATAAGTAAAGTCACTATTAACTTTATTAACAATGTTGAGATTTTCCAATTATTTTAGTTAACTTTGATTTGATTGTATTTTATAAATTTTATATAAGTTTTGAAGGTTTTTGTTTCAGTTTTGTATTGAATTTAATTTACATATTTTATTTTTAATATGTATTATTAACGATTTTTTTCTATTTACTTTAGTTAACTTTGATTCGATGGTGTTCTTATAAACTTTTATTTTTAATAGGTTTTTGTTTCAGTTTTTATATAACATTTAGTTTATATAGTTTATCTTCTCATAGTCACCATCATTTATGTTTTAAAATATGATTTATGTTAAAAAAGTAAACTAAAAAACCTGATTAAACCAAATCAAAACACAAACCAAACCATTTACAAACCGAACCGAAACCAATCCAAACCAACTAATTATGGTTTATTTCAGTTGAAAAAAATTAGAACCAAATTAACAAAACCGAATCGAATCCAAACCGAACGGATATATCCGAAGTGCCCACCCCCAGCAGATATGACCCGGTGATATGTCAAAGACTGTAATTTCCCACACAAATCTAAAAGTCACTTTTTATTTTGGGCTGAAATTGTAAGTTACATAAAGTTTGGGTTAAAATGGTAAATAACATAAAGCTGGAGGTAGGACTGTCGGAGAAAGGATAAGACTTTAGACCCAAAGAGATCATCAGCAAAAAAAAAAAAATGGCAGCGTTGAGTTCCACTTCATGTCTACACTCACTTGCTGGCCAAGAAAGATACTTCCTTTCATGTAAAACATCCCAGTTTACAAAACCCTTGCTCATAAACCCGTCTCTGAAGAAACCCAGATTCTCAGTTCCGTTTTGCATCAAGCAAAGTGACCGTGAGGAGAGGCAAATTCAACAAGAATCTAGCAGAGAAGAAGAAGAGGAAGATTATTGGGTTGTTACAGCCGTAAGAAGCAAATACAATGAGATTGTTATAGTGGATACTGTTGATGCAAGATATCTCCTCCTTGATTCAACTAGTAAGATATTTAGTAAAAAGCTTGTATTATGGAATCCTCTGTTTCTGTAACCTTTTGTTGGATATGTAGAGAATGCGCATAGTGTTATCAATAAGGGAGGTGATATTTGGACTGATTCTTATTGGGTATGTTACATTTTTCCATTAAACCTTTTGTCTCTCTTTTGGTATGTAAATGTTGTTTTGTCAAAAATATATAACAGAATTGTATTGTGCTTTTGACCAAAAAAAAAAGTGTATTGTGCTTATTTTGAATCTTCACAACATTTTGTTACAGGATGAGTTTGCAAGTTTGCCACCTATTGTCCCTGATGGTCCCATTGCCATCTATGGATTGGTGAGAGCAACTCAATGAATCTCATATCAAACTGTCTTAGATGTACATTGACCTTTTGTTCATTATGTTTTAGGGTGGTGGAACAGCTGCAAGATTGATTCTTGAGGTGTGGCCTTCTACTCAGCTTGAGGGCTGGGAAATTGATGACATTGTATGAAAATTCATCTCTTGTAACAATTTATCTATTGAAATCTTGAGTTCACTTTGGTTTCTTTTATGGATTGTAGTTGATTGCGAAAGCAAGAGAGTATATGGATCTGTCTGAATTAGAGAAGCCAACATCAAAAGGCGGTAGTCTCCGTGTTCTTGTAGATGATGCTCTTTCTCCTTCTGAAGATGTTTCAGGAAAATATGCTGGTGAGATTTCAAGTTAATCTATGTTTCATATTCTATTTCTTGTCTAAACTCTTGGACTATTATGTCTTACTAGGGATCATTGTTGATTTGTTTGCTGATGGAAAGGTCTTAGATCAGCTACAACAGGTATACTACAAACGGTTATGGTTGTTAGTGTTATGATCTAGGCACGTGTTTTTGAAAATTTGAGATTGTGTAGGTTCAAATGTGCCATGATTTAGCTAGCAGACTGATGCCTAACGGTCGCATTATGGTGAACTGTGCCGGAATCGAAGAAGAGAAAGTTGTAACAAATGAAAAACCTAAGTTGGTGTTAGGTGATTCGGTTTGGATGTTGAATCATACCATCAAAGTCATGTCAGAAGCATTCCCTGGACAAGTAAGCAAACACATTTTCATCTTCCATCCTTTTTTGTTACTTGCTTATTTAAAATGGGATCCTCGTCAATGTAGGTTTGCTGGAAGAGGACACCAGATTCAGAAGGTCTCAACTTTGTTGCATTAACGGGAGGAGTACCTGATCTTACTGACTGGTCTAACAAAGTTCCAGCGCGTTTGAGTGAGACAGTGAAGCAATGGAAACTATGCGAGAATCTTTGATTGATGGATGTTTTGGAGGGTATTTTCTACATGTGACATCAAGAAAGGAATCAAATGTTCAGAGAGTTTATGAGGATCTCAGCAAGAAAATCATATATGAATAGTGTGAAATGCTTTTATGATTTGTTCTGCCGAATGAGTTTAGGCATCTTTGTAATTACATTTTAATTTTGCCTTAACTAAACGACTATGAAGAAGCTACAATGGATTAATGTTTCTTGGTCTGAACAAGAACAATCTAACCGGTTTTGTACCATTAGAAATCTTTGAGGCGTTGCATTGTCTTTGTTCATTATACATCGATGAAAACAACATAAGAGGTGAGCTTAGATTATCTAGAAAGTTTTATAAGAAGATGGACTTGTAGGAGAAAGGAAGATAACAAAGAGGGTTGGTAGTTCAATAAACGTGAAACCAGAAGAAGTCATCATCGATTGTGTTGGTGAGCTCATCAAACTACAGCCTTTCTTTGAAATATTTCTGGTAAATATTTAAAAAATGGTAATCTGGCCCATGCAGGTTTCGAACCTGCGACCTTCGCGTTATTAGCACGACGCTCTAACCAACTGAGCTAATGGGCCACTTTGTTTACTTACCTCTTAGACTGAAAATCTTACCCGTTTACATTAGTAATATCTCTAATCTATTAGAAGGCAAATCATGTAGTCTAGTAGAAGGCACAAATCCTATATGAACTTATTTAATAACATACAATTATACAGATTGAAGTCCGAGCAACATCCCAACATATTGACTTACACTTGTCCAAGTATTTTTCTACCTATCTTCTCGTCTAACAGACAAGACGATCGTATATTACATAAATTATACATACTTTGAGATAAGATAAGCATATGCAGTGTTATACGAAAGGAGAACATAAATGGAAAAGATACTTGGAAGAATCCCAAAATGTTCTAGAATTGTGGACAAAAACAACTAAATTACACGAAATTAATAAGTGGGTAGGCCGGACGAATAGTGTTTAAATAGTTTTCTTACAAATAGACATGTAAACAAGTCAATAACAACAAAAAGTCACAGAAGCTTCTCAAACGTTACGAAGAGTCCAAAGACAAGACAAACGCATTACAAATCAAAGTTCTAGAGTTTGTATGTAGTTTGAGACATCGTAGGTCAACTCTTGTTCGTTTTTATGGTGCATTGAAACTTGTTTAGACCCAACAATTGGGATCGGAGTTGGTAATACTAAGGCATTAATATACAAACAATATGCACTACTAATGTATAACAGAACTGACTCTTCCATTTAGGCTTCGAATGGTAACGAACTGCACCACCCCGTACCGCTGTGAATAGTAACAAAAATTTCTATATATGTTTATGTATCTATATATTTTT